CCTTGTGTTAAGGTCCCGGATAATGATGTCTGGCTATTCAGAGAAAGAAAGCTCTTCAGAATGTCATCGCTTCGTAAAAGATGTCTTGGAAATATTCACTTTCCTTTGTTTCTACCCCGTTCACCAAAATTCTAAACTTTTTTTTTTCCCTGAGTGGAAATTTCCAGGAAGAGAACACCTTGGGCAGAATCTTTTATAAACTAACCAAGGAGCTCATATGTCTATACGCATTGCCCATGGACACAGATATCAGGGTGGTGAGGCCCGAGGTGGGGCGGGAACCAGGGGGAGGGGGCAATGGGGGAACAAGGGGGGGGACACCTGTAACACTCAACAATAAAGATATAAAAAATAAAATTAAATTAAAAGTAGGTTAGGATATTTTAAAAGCCATTGAATGCAAAGATTTCAAATTTAGTCCTTATCCAACTGTATTTGAGGACAGGAACTATGTATTATTTATTTTTGTAGTTTTCGAGTACTCTAGTTCACTGTCTCTTAGAGAGTAGGAACCGTGTGTGTGTGTGTGTGTGTGTGTGTGTGTGTGTGTGTAGTTGGCTTCTTTTGGAAATGTGAAACAAGTCAAGTCTTTTAATAGAGACATGATGTTGAAAAAATGCTTTCTTATAAAGATTTGCCTCGCTAAGCAAGATGCATTAGCCAGGGGACAGGCTGGTGGTAGGGGGACCACTTCCAAATTAGGAAAGTTGTTTCAGCAGAAGCTAAGCACCTCTTACAGGTGTATTTTGCAAGGTAAGATGCTACTTAAGGTCAGCACACACAGTGATGCTCACATACTAATTAACCCAGCACATGACCGTGTGAACACAAGTAATTACGAGGTTTGAAATCATTATCAGCAGCAGCATCTAAGTCTCTGCCAAACGTTTCTACCAAATTCAGAAAGTGTTAGGACATACAGCCACTAATTCTCAGAGTCTGATTTTCCTGGAAGAGGAGAAGCAAAAATAGTTCCAAGTTTTCTGTGGCAGGTAGCTCCTAAAATTTAAATGATCACTACTGATACGTCATAAAAGGGCAAAATTCTTCTAAAATAAGGTTTTGATAGGAACTAGACTCCATCGAGTATGCAAAATACATGGGAAACTGAGGTACACAAGGCAAATCAGTTCCAGATATCTGGTTCACAAAAAGGAAAAAGAGGAAAGAAAATGGAAGAAATATTTTTTTGAAACTCAAGTGGGTATTGTCGTTGTTTATTTAAACCATTGTACAAATGAGTTATATATATATATATATATATGTATATATATATATATATATATATATATATATATATATATATATATATATGTTTGGCATTAAAGTAAGAGTCAGGAGGGAGGTTTTTATAGTTTATAGTTCTGTCCTGCTCCTGGGAAGGATACTCCGGTCCTTGCACAGATATCCTAATCACCGCATCATAAGCACAGCTGAGTTCAAAGGGAAACCTAGCCTGCCCTTGGTTACCAGCTAAACAGGAGATTAAACAAGCTACACAATGCCTCTGGGGGGGACAAGAAGCCAAAAGGCACACTTATCACTTCTGAGTCACAGTGAGGACTGCCTCCAAACAAGATTTTCCTCTTGGGGACCATTTTAAATAGTCCGTGAGTAGGTGAGTGGGAGGGGCTAAGACAGGAGGGCCTGGGAGAATCAGGTGCCATTCTGTGAGTCATCCCATGGCAACCTATTTCTGTTGCAACGTGCAGAATGACTTAAAGTTGGACCGAATTCTTTCAAGACTCAAGTTGGATGTCGGCAGTAGAGAAAGAGGCATCCAGACCGAAGACCAGCAAACGCTGGTCTGAAGGCAGGAGAATGCCAGGCATGCTCTGTAGAGAGCAACCTGCCAGGTGTGGCTGGAGTGGGGATGGAGGGGTCAGGGAGAAAAGACAGATCACATAGGTGCTCGAGGTTCAGAACAAGGTCAGAAAGATGTCAGGCCATGGGAAGTATTTTAGCACCGACTTTCAATGGAAAGCCATTTGATGGTTTTGAGTGGAAGAATGAGATGCCATCTCAAAGGATCACTGGGCCACCGCTGCTGTGGCTCAGTGGGTTGAGCGTTATCCCATGAACTGAGAGGTCCCGGTTCGATTCCCAGTTGGGCCACATGCCCAGTAGGGGTCATGCAGAAGGTAGTTGATCAATGTTTCTCTCTCCCATCGATGTTTCTCTCTCTCTCTCTCCCTTCTTTTCTCTCTAAAAAGTCAATAAAATATAAACAAGTATGTGTGTGTGTGATGTTAAAGGAATCACTGGGGCATCTGTGTGGCAAGTAGATGAGTAAACAGATTGGGTAGAAGCAGAGACTGAAGAAACAGACTTACAACAACCAAAGTGACGGGTGGCCCAGGCTTGGAGTAAAGGGAGAGCATTTGAGGTCATCAGAAGTGTTGAAATCATGATCTATTTTCCAAGTAGACCCATAAGATTTATCTATGGCCTGACTAGAGAGTATGGAAGGATCCAAGATGAGCACGACGTGTTTGGTCAAGGAAGCTGAGGAGCAAGAATGAAACACTGGACCGGACAATACGTCCATCATCAATGACCTTGACGAAGGTAGGGAAGTTCTGTGGAGAGGTGGAGAAGAAACTTGGATTGGAATGGGTAAGGAAACGGAGAGGAAGCATCAGAGACAGAATGTCAACAACTTCTTTAAGAGTGTAACCGTAGCCCCGGCCGGTTTGGCTCAGCAGTTAGAGTGTCGGCCCGTGGACCAGAGAGAACCGAGTTCGGTTCCTGCTAAGGGCACGTACCTCGGTTGCAGTTTGTCCCCGGCACCGGTTGGGGTCGTGTGGGTGGCAACCAGTCAACGTGTCTCTCTCACATCGATGTTTCTCTCTCTCTCTCTTACCCCCTCTCTCCCTCCTGCTCTATCTGAAGATAGATGGAAAAAAAGAAAAGAAGAGTGTAACTGTAAAAAGCAGAAGCAAAGGGGGCTGGTGACTGGAGGGAGTTGAGAGGACTCAAGGAGGGGTTAGCAAAGAAAGGAGTTTCAGCACGTTTCTAGGTGGGAACCTAGTAAAGAGGAGGGAGAGGATTGTAGCAGCCGTGTCCCATGCGATGTGGGAGGAGTGGGACCCAGGGGGACCATGAAAGATGATGGCTGTTTCAGATAGAACATGGGTGTAGTTCTTCATCGTATCAATTGACCAAACAGGCAGGCCGTTTGAGCAGGGATGATAAGGTTTCCTCGGGCACTCGGGGTGTACCAGGTGCAGCTTCTATTACTTGGCATATGCTGTGTCTCCTCCAATCAACTCTGTGGATTAAAACTGAGCCCACAACTCATTCATTTATTTAATCATTGAACAAATATTTACTAAGATCCTTCTGTGTCCCAAGCACTAGACTGCCCGTTGGGAAATAAAACAGTGAACAATAAAATTGTCAGGTGAGAGTTGTGGAATGTTCATGAAACACCAGGCTTTTTGCTAATAAACTCATCTTTGTCATCTCATTTTCTGCTCACAACAACCCTCGGAATCTGGTGTTACTGTCCACATTTTATAGATTAGAAAATCGAGGTTCAGGGAAGTTAAACAACATCCAGGAAAACACATCGATTCAAATGCAGACTGTGTGATTCCACTGTGTTACCTACAGAGCCCCCGCCCGCTATGCTATAGAAAACGATCCTTCACGTCTGCATTACTGAGATCGACAGAGGTCATGTGGACAACAACAAAAATGAATAATTAAATAAACCAATAAGAAAGCAATTGCAATGTCCCAAGTATAAGAAAACAACCGGGCGCTAAACCAGAGAATGATGCAGTAATGAGATTACAGTTAAGATAAAATTGTAAAAAACAGTTGTCAGGGAAAGCTACTTGCTAAGGAAGGAACATGTCGGCTGACACCTAAGGGATAAGAAATATTGAAGGAGGATGGAAGACACTCCCAGATCAGGCGAAGAGTAGCAAGTGCAAAGGCCCCGAGGCAGGAAACAGCTTTGCATGCTCAAGGAGCAAAAACAGAATCAATTGGGCTGAAATATAATAGGAAAAAAATGTAACAGTGAGTTGAGATACATTGAGGAATAGGGAGGACTCTGATTATGCAGAACCCTGAAGGCTTACATTCTAACAAGAAGTCAGCAACACTTTTTAAGCAGGAGAGGCCCTACCAGGTGTATCGTTAAAGATGGTGCAAGTACAGTGTAGCAGATGAATCAGAATATTGGTGGAGAGGAACAGTGTACAGCAGAGGAATTGGAGACCAGCTAGCAGCTGGGAGCTGAATCCCAGATGGAGATGATGGTGATGAATGGGCACAGAGAGAAGTAACAGGGTCTGAGAAATATTTTGGAGATGGCCTTTATAGAATTTGGTGATGAAATGGATGCAAGAAATGAGAGGGAAGGGGAGGTGCCTGGGTTTTTGACTTGAGCAGCTCAGTAAACGGCAAGTCCATTTACTGAGATGGGAACACTTAAGGGCTGGAGCAGGAGACAGGTTTGGGAAGAATTTCATTTTTGATTCTTTGTGATAGAGATATGAGAGAACTTAATTTTGAAGTCTAGTGGAGAACTCTGGCTACAGACATAAAGTAGGGAGTCAGTGATATGAAGGTGATGTTTAAGGTCATGGGTATGGTCTGGCCGGTGTGGCTCATGGTTGAGCGTCGACCCAGGCACCAAGAGGTCGCCAGTTCAGGGCGCATGCCCAGGTTGTGGGCCTGATCCCCAGTGGGGAGCATGCAGGAGGCGGCCAGTCAGTGTTCTCTCTCATGGGTGTTTCCATCTCTCTCCCCCTCTCCCTTCCTCCCTCTCAAATCAATAAAGGAAGAAGTCATGGACATGGGTGGGATTACCTAGAAGGAGCAGCGTGAGGTGAAGGACCTTAGAAAGGAAAAGTAAAGGATCAGGCAAAGCCCTAAAGGGCTTCAACATTTCACACTGGATGAAAAATGAGAAGCTGGCCAAAAAAAAGTTGAGAAATCCAGTCTGGGGGGAGGAAGGACCAGCAGAAGGCGGTGCCAAGGAAGACACCCCAGGAGCTCGTCAAGAGAAAGGAGCTGGCACCTTGAACCAAATCTGATGAGAACCGAAACAAATAATGACAGAGAAGCGTCCACTGAATCCGGCAACGTGGACGTTACTAACAAACACGACAGCTATTTTAGGGAGGAACAGTGCCATCCGGGAGGTAAGTACGCGGTTACGATCAAGAGCTCAGAAACCAGGAGCGCTTTTTCAGCATAAGCATATTAAAGAATTTTAAAAGTATATTTGAGAACAAACCTGCGTGCATGGGGGCATCCACAGCACAGAAGTGGTTAGGAGGTGGGGGAGAGACTTTATCAGGAAAAGGCCAAGCAATCGAGGACATGATTGGATTGGCTGCAGCTTAAGCACTTGCCTTTTTTGGGAAAATCCTCTTGGCTGTGATCAGCTGTCCTTAGGTTTTGATTTCTTAACCTTAGGCAGGTACAGGATTAGGTGTGAGTTGCTTGTGTTGGTGGCTAAGGTCTGAGAACCAACCTCAGCGAAATGGCTCCCCGTTTAATGAATTTCACAGGAGACACAAAAGGCTGTTAGTAGGCTGACAGAAAGGGCCCTGTAGAGTCCTGTATTGTAGATCATACTGAAAGGAGAAAACTGTGTGAATTCCTAGGTTTTCCTGTGTAGAAACAAGGGTGTCCGTGACCCAGACAGAGACAAGAGCCATGAGTTTAAGACAGATGCTACCTCTTCACTGTTCAGTGGAAGAGGCAGAAAACACAGGTAGGTTGGTTGTCAATTGGCTTGTGGGAAGGGAAGCAGAGAAACTGCCTGATCGGCCCTGGCTGGCACGCTCAGTGGTTAGAGCACTGGCTTGTGAACCAAAGGGTCCTGGGTTCAATTCCCAGTCAAGGGCATGCGCCTGGGCTGCAGGTTCGATCCTCAGTCCCATTTGGGGTTATGCAGGAGGCAACCATGTGTCTCTCTCACATGGATGTCCCCCCCCCTTCCTTTCCACTCTATCTAAAATAAATAAATAAATACAATTAATGGAAAAACATCCTTTGGTGAGGATTAATAAAAAATATAAAAACATGCTTGGCTTGTGTGGCTCAGTGGTTGAGCGTCGACTCCTGCACCAGAAGGTCCCCAGCTCGGTTCCTGGCCAGGGCACCTGCCTGGGTGCAGGCCTGATCCCCAGTGGGGGACGTGCAGGAGGCGGCCGATCGATGTTCTCATCTCTCTCTCCCTTCCTCTCTCTGTAAAATCAATAAAGAAAAAAAAAGTTTAAATAATAGTAATAAATAAAACTGCTTTCCGTTGCTGAGCCAGGTCCCTCCCAAACCTGGAGAACCCCTACTTCCCCGGAGCCAAAATGGCCTGTACCTCCCTCCTACCAGGATCGCAGCTCAGACATGTTTGCAAAGGACAGAAAGAAGGCAGCTTTCTTATGCTGAAGCAAAGGTCAAGCAGGCAGACACCTGCCCGACCATGAGTGGGAAGAGGATGGAATTCACCTTGTCCTTAGCCATTCCCTGCGACTAATTCAAATCCTACACAGTTAACAGCTCTGGCTCCCATCCAGTGTGGAGGCTGTTTCAGATGGCTGTTTTTCCAAAGGACCAGCTATTCAAATGCCTTTTGCTCCTCCCCAGCCCCCATCTCACCCCCATCTCACCACCACCCCACCCCACCCCCCCGGACTCTAGTCCACAGGCCAACACTCAACCGCTGAGCCAAACTGGCCAGGGCGGTCCTCAGAGGTTTTGCCAGGACAACCTCAAAGCTTTTCTCTTTCCATCCTTTTCTAACCCAGAAGTAGTGTTCCTCCCGCCCAGCACAATTCTCGGGTGAAAGTCCTCTGTCCCGTAAGCCAATATTTGACACATACCACATTTTGTTCCCCAGAATGACTTCTATCACAGTCACCAAAAAAGAAAAGAAAAAAAAAGAAGAAGAAGAAAGCCTTACATTATACAAAGTCAAACTGCTCAGCCTAATTGTTTGAAACTCCACATAAAAATCCCAAGGGTTTCAGCCCAGCACGGCTGTTGTTCTGATGGCTCCCACCCTCCGCATCAGCCCTCCTATTGTCTTCCCTCCTTCATTCCGCTCATCAGTTCCCACGCCCCATCCTTCTCCTCGGTGATCCTGTCAAAAAATCAATTTGCCGCTTCCGCCCCGCTTCCAGCGGCTGATCCAGCAATTCTCCCCTTTTATGGAAGAGAAACGAGGGGAGAAGTCAGCCCTCCTCTGCGCGGCCCTCACACGGGCGGGGCTGAGTGTCCAGCACAGGTGCCCGTGGCTTCAGACCGTTTCCAGAGACGGCTGCGCCCCCACCGACCCGTATGCAAGTGCAAATGCGCCCCGTTGTTTCAGAGCGCTTGCTTGATGGCACGTTCGTTTTGCTGACAGCATTTACTTTTCGAGCAATAGGACTAAAATAAATGCTATTGAAGGAGAAGCCCTGTATATGCCCAGAATGAGACCAGGGACAAAGAGGCTGGAAATCAGAGAAGATTTTTAGACCTGTAGGGAGTTCTCAGTCTTAGATGTTGAAGGAACCTAGGGCTGCCGGTATTGAGTCCCTGGGGGAAGGGAGAGGGGAGAACACTGTCAACATTTGAGAATATGGAATATAGTCAATAATATTGGAATAGCTACGTATGGTGCCAGGTGGGTGCTGGACATATCGGGGGAACATTCTATAAAGTACATGATTATCTGACCACCGTGCTATATGCCTGAAACTGATACAAAATGACATTGAATGAATGTAAACTGTACGTGAAATTTTCTAAAAAAGATATTGTCAAGATTGGGAAATTATACCACAAAACTTGGAATGAAGGATTTCCCTCAAAAAAATTGAAACTGCCCATCTTTTTTTTTAAAAGACATCAGTGCCCTCCTGATAATTCACTATGAAGATGAGGACATCAGTCTGCCATGTTCTGTTATTGGTGATGTTAACTCGAATCACTGTGTTAGAGTATTTTCTGCCAGGTTACTTCACTGTGAAGTTACTCTTTCTCCCTTTATGACTATTTATATATAGTCATAGATAGATAGATAGATAGATAGATAGATAGATAGTCCTATATAGATAGACAGATAGTCATATATAGATAGTCGTACACACACACACACACACACACATACATACATACATATGGTGGGAGCTATTTTTTTAAATGTGTTTTTATTGATTTTTTTTAGAGGGAGAGAGAATCATCAATCAGCTGCCTCCTGCACACCCCCAACTGGGGATCAAGCCCACAACCCCAGGCATGTGCCCTGAGCAGGAATCGAACTGGGACCTCTCAGTCCACGGGACGACTCTCAATCCACTGAGCCACACCAGTCAGGTGTTATTTTTATTTTATTTTTTTATCCTCACCCGAGGACATTTTTCCATTTTTTGTACAGATAGAGTGGGAGGGAGAGAGAGGAAGAGACAGAGAGAGAGAAACATCTATGTGAAAGGGACACATCAAGTGGCTGCCACCGCACGATCAACCAAGGCCGGGGACAAACTGCAACCGAAGTACGTGCCCTTAGCGGGAACCGAACCCGGGTCTCTCCGGACCGCAGGCCGACGCTCTAACCGCTGAGCCAAACCGGCCAGGGCTCAGGTGCTATTTTGATACCATGTAAATATCCTGTCACTAAATACCGTTAGTATTTAATGGTGACTCCTGCCGGAATAAATTATTATCATCATGGTTGTCAAACAGTCATTTTCAAATTCCTTCATCATTTATGAGTTGGCTTTTTTTTACCATAAGGAAGACTGTTTCCTCCTTCCCTGTGATTTTATTTATTTATACATCAATATCAACTCATACAATAGCTCATGACCCATATGTGCGAATATACATATGTGTGTGACTATAAAATTCTGCTATCATTGATTTGATGCTCAAACTGAAGCAGATGTAGCCACAAATGATTTTTTTTTTCATTCAGATTTCTGGCTTTTATCGACCAATCAGTGCTCTGGTGAGCCTGGGGAAATGACTGCTCCGATTGGAGTAGGTGAACACAATCTCTGCGGGCCTGCCTGCTCCAATTTCCAGACCCCTCCCGGCTGACTCGGCTCCTCTGTATGACCTGACCTTGCACTCGTGTTTCCAACTTACCACAGAAGCGCTCTTTCTAAACTGAGGCGATCTTTTCTTTTTGCTTTAATCTCACCAAAGAAACTCTCTGATTGCGATTCACATGTAGACTGACTACAGGCAGAGCATGAATGGACCTAGGTTTTCAGTTCCTCCTGCTCACAAGTTATCGCTTATGGAACATTATTAAATTGGCATTCTTGTTTGGATTTTACTTGTTGCCGTTCAGTCCCTCGGGACCTGCGGAAATGTGAACACCAGCCGGAGGTTGCCCTTGGCCTTCTAAGTCGAGAACAAGCAGCTTCCAGTCAAGACCCTCCCCGGCCTTCTCTGTCCCGGCCACGCAGTCATGAGACCACACTGGCACGACTCCTATCCCCAGAGAAGCAAGGATAGTTGAGGAAGAGTCAATACAAAGCAAGAGTCAATACAGAGAGGATGTTTACGGAGGAGCAAAGTGGGTAGAAATGCTACCATAAATGGAAGTTGATGCCTTGCTCCCCAAGCACTCAAACAGTGGAGAAAAAAAGATTGGGGAAGAAAGAAAGGAATCATGGAAGACAGAAGCAGGGACATGACCAGAAAGTTCTGATTGAAAAATGGAGAAAAAGATAACCCCAGGAAAGGTTACATAGAATGGCAAGTCAAACTGCCCAGGTTTCTTCTTGTGATATGTTAGATCTAAACAGTGTAGGGTTCAATTTGTTGTTGTTGTTGTTGTTGTTGTTTTAATAGTTCAGTTTAGGGTCAAGAGACCTTGAGCTTAATGGGGATTTCCTGTGTCATAATAGTTATTTACAAATCTGGTACCACTTAGTAATTAATCTATTTAAATTGCCTCTTTGAGAAGTATAAATGAATACAAATACAATTAAATCTACGACTTACTGCACATCTAACGTCAAATAAACGTGATTTTCTAAAATCATGCACCATGGAGAATTTTGAACTTTATAATCACATAGTCTTTTATTGCTAATGAGATAAAACAGAGATGATAAATTCACGGAGCTATGAACCAGATGTTAAATATTGATTTTTGTATATAGTTTGACCTTAAGACCATGTGATTAATGTGTAATTTATAGCTTGCATGGAAGATTACCAACTCAGGTTTCTCTAAACATTGTAGAATTATGGTTAAAAGAGTCAAAGTTGTCATTTATGGTGTAGAGACAGCAAAAAGGGGGCAGGGCATGTTAAAGTAACACAGTAGCACAAGAATTTTTTTAAAGAAATGACAAGCAGATCCACCCATAACATCCTACACGAAAGCATTCGATTGACCCTTCAGGGGCCACAGCGACTGGAGGGAAATCAGCTGTTGGGGGCGGGGGGGGGGGGAGAAGCCCGGAGGCCCTGGGAGAAGGCATCCTGCCAGAAACGGGGGCCGTGCTCCCACCAGGGCTCACCTGGTCTGCACGTGCAATTCCACCACCTGGGGGGCTGTGGAAAGGCCTGGGCACCCCCTCCACGAACTGGGCTCCTACCAGCCGGGGTGCGGCTGCGCTGCAGGTCCTCAAACATCCCTTCGGAAGTCACTTACTCTTCCCGCCGCGCTGCACATCGACATTCGATCAACGGCAGGCTGGTCCCACCACGTTATAAAGGCGCAGCCACAGTGACGTCACAGCGTGATGTCGCAGCTGCAGTGATGTGACGTCACGGCCGCCGCTGCTGCAAGCTCCGTTCACGGTAAGTGCCCTGGGCACCACTTCTTTTGTCGTCTAGATCATATTTTACATACCTTTTCTATGTTAGAGCATGTCTGGATACACAGATAGCATCGTGGGACGGTGCCTAATACTCGGCGGCGACACGGTGATGACAGCGGTCAGGAGCCCGGGCTGGGCCATCTGTGCTCTGTGCTCTTTGCACGGGGACATCGCCTGACACGTTTCTCAGAAGACATCCTTCCTTCCAGGCTGTTGAGGGATTAAATAAGATTATAGGTAGGCACTAGTTTAAATAGTGCTCAATAAAGGGTAGTAAGTTATTTTAACTATTTAAACCTGTGTTAAGTGGGATAATTACAGGGTGGTGGAGAGAAAAGGGAAGGAACCCTAAACATCCAAAACCCCAAAGATAGGCCTGTTCAAAGAGTTCTGATTTTGATTCATCCCTACTCAACTAGGGGTTACATATGTTTCCCCCACACACATCCACACCTGCCCGGCATATACCTATTGAGTTAGTTCCTTTGAAAACCATTGGTCTAATGGAAAAAATAGTCCAAGGTGACATTAAGGTCCTGCCATAGATCTGACTCATATTTAAGGAAGTTATTTAACTTCATCTTGTCTTAGTTTACCCACTATTTGGGGTTGACTGGTGCCCGACTACACAAGAGTTGAAGGGCATTTCAATGAAACAAGTGGTCACCAGCTTAGGCTAACTCAGAAAATCAAGTTGCTGGAGAGGATGATTTAAGGAGCTCAACTATGTTAAATGGCAGACACGTCTAAGCGCTGAGAAATTTCTGGTTTTAACTTGAGCTTTTTTCTCTAAACTGTGTTCCATTTTCCTGATGTAGACCTTAGAAAAAGGCGCCATTAGTTATTTTCCATCCTAGTAATTTTTTTTCAGAATAGCTTTGTCGATAAAGAGAGAGAAGCAGAAGGCAATCATTTATCAACAGCCCAGTGACCTTGAAACATTTATAAGGCACACAGACATGTTCAGGATTGCCTTGCACATCAAGTGATACAATAACCAAGGGATCTGTAAACACTGAACTATGCCATTTTATGTCCTTATTCCCAGGAACCAGATTCTAAATGTATTTCAGCCTCTAAACAATGTAACCCAACATTGACAAACAGTATCCACTTAATACTTTTAAAAATACATCAATGAATTTTTTTTAAAAAACTTCTAAAATCCAAATTTTTAAATGAATTTTAAGACAAAATTCCATTAAATCTTAAGACAGTATTCCATTGAACATGTTTCAAGTTGCTAGTATATCAAATAGATTACCCTAGAAACAATAGATAGTTCCCTATATGAAACTCATAGAATAGAAAGATGTTTAGAGTAAGAAGATAACCAAATTATTCCTTTACTACCAATGGTTAATTATATAATTAACTTTTATCACATACCTTTGGTAATTAAAAGTGAAACATCCTTCTGGTATTCTAACAGACTTTAAAACAAAGTACTGTCTCTCGGTTGAGTTAGGCCTGAAGTGGAGAGCAGGGATCAGAAACAGATTAGTAATTCATTAGGTGAGTGAGAGCCATGTGTCAGGAAGATGAGGTGCTTGCTAGAAATATGGAACTAACATCTGTTCTAGGCATGAAGCCGAGAAGTAGGGTTGCCTGTACGATAAGATGTGATTGATGGAGCACTTTCCTTCTGTAGAATTCACTTCGAGTTCCACAGTCAGCAAGATGAAACAATGTATCAATACACCCTGTCAGCTGCTGAAAGTAACCATTGTGCCAGAACAAAAAAGTATTTTAATCTTTCCTTTTACTCAGTAATCACATACGTTTAAATCTCTTGCATACACACAGTGCTAGACTAGATGCAGAGCTGTACGTTAGCCCATAGTGTCATGGTCCATTCCGCTCAGAAACAGGGCTAGGTGTTGAGCTGGGCATTTGGGATTAAACGTGAGAGATTAGAGGGAAGTTATGTGCAAGAAATCATACCATGTACATCAAGAATCTAGTTTGATTATTATAAAATGCACTGGAATGCTGGTAATGATCCTGGCTAAATGCTTTGAAACTTTCCCTCTGTAATTCCTCTGAGAGTTTCCTTAACACCCCATTTCCCAATGTGCCACGTGGTCCAAGCTCAGTGTTTGAATTCTCGGTGTCACAGCAAAGCTAACCGTGAAAGCGGTTCAGTGTCAGGTCTCCCCGTTCATAGAGCCCACGGTTTCAGCCTGCTTCTGCCAAGCCTTTTTATGACTTTCCTGCAGTGATCAGATAATACAGGCAGAGGGCCTGGGTTTCCCCCTCCTCCAAACCCCCGCACCCTCCCTTCTGCCCTTCCAGTCCACAGAAGCACAGAGCATGAGGAGAGGTGGAGTTACCAGTCGATAGTTTACAACTGAGGCCCATTAACCAAGAAGACAAAGAGGAAAGGAGACAGAATGGCTGACTTTTAGAAGCTCTGACTCGAGTTTGCTCTTCATCTCCTCCTCTCTGTGTTTGTCTTCTTCCCTGCACTCCTACCCCCAAACACACACACACACACACACACACACACACACAGTATCATCATCCTTCCTTCCAGGGTGTTGAAGGGATTAAATAAGATAATATAGGTAGGCACTAGTTTAAATAGTGCTCAATAAAGGGGAGCAATGATAAGTTATTTTAACTATTTAAACCTGTGTTAAGTGGGATAATTACAGGGTGGTGGAGAGAAAAGGGAAGGAACCCTAAACATCCAAAACCCCAAAGATAGGCCTGTTCAAAGAGTTCTGATTTTGATTCATCCCTACTCAACTAGGGGTTACATATGTTTCCCCCACACACAACCGCACCTGCCCGGCATATACCTATTGAGTTGGTTCATTTGAAAACCACTGGTCTAATGGAAAGAATAGTCTAAGGTGACATTAAGGTCCCGTCATAGATCTGACTCCAATATGTGAGGAAGTTATTTAACTTCATCTTGTCTTCGTTTGCCCGCCGTCTGGGATTAACTGGGCTTGCCTCTGCTTAGCCAAGATGAGGGGAAAGGAGACGGAAGCGAGCATCCCCCCGTAGTACAAATGGACACGAAGACATTCGAACTACAATATTGTTTGTTTTCTTTCTATAAGGATATTAAGTAGACTAGGAATAATGACACCTCCCTTTCGTGGGGTGGGGGCTTACTTTCAGAATTTGAAATAATACAGGTATAAGCCTTGCACAGTGACTGACATAAAATACGAGACCAATAAATTACAGCTATTATTTTTATTATGATGATTATTGAGGGACTTGAAAGTCATTTCTGCCCCGTGTAAAAAGACTATGACAAAACAGCTGTGCAAACAAGGTCCAAGTTCCTTGGAATTAATAGAAAGTGTTCACGTTGCCACTCTCAGGAGCCCACTGTGTTCATGTTTGCTAAATGAGAACGCCGTGTTCAGTGGAAATGAGTCAGCTCTGTCCAGCCTTCTGTAGGATGCTGTAAAATGTGGCATGATGTCAGTTGGCTGCCACCACGGTTTCCTAAGACTCATACTGATATGGCTCATCTGAACGGCACTGCTAAATACCTGGGCGTTTATTTGTATCACTACACCTGTAGAGTCATCCATGGTATCAAAGTCAACCAGCCACTACGGAACTCCCAAGGAAAAGAATGTCAATATCTCTGCAGGATTACCATGTGGTCAGTCAAATCATAGATGATCTTTGTGAAATTGCTCCAGCTTCGTTTTCTATGTGGAGTATGTTGTGCTCATCTCACATGTTTTCATCATGCTATTGGCTTGTTTGATCTTCATACTGACCCTGTGAGAGATTTTAAGTCGGTTTCACGATCTCTGTTTTATAGCTTGAAAAACTGACGCACAATCTCACTAAGCGACTTTGGCAGGGTCGTGATGAAGACAGGACTATAATCCAAGTTCTTGGGCCCAGTTTCTTTCCATTGCATTCTGTGCTTTTCATGTATCTTCAGTGCTCCAAGAACATATAATGTGTCTAAATAATCTGCCATTTGTTAAAATGACCAGAATAACGCCTTCAGAGGGATAGAATACACACTATTCTAGGGAGTTGATCCAGTCTTGCTTTTGGTAATATAGAAGATGAAAATAACTTGGCATCTCAGAAGAAAAACTTCCATTATCAGCAAAGATAAGAACTACTCTGTTTGACAACTGAAGCTTTTTGAGTTTTAGGTCAAAAGTCTGGGTCCAGGCTA